GTTGTGAAACCCCTCACCCCGTACTGCCTTGATCTCGCCCCAGTGTTAGTTTTCTTATTCTCTTGTGTGTGCATCTGGGAGACAGGGACAACGAGAAACAACCTATCGGAAGTTGTGTTTTCACGGCATATGAGGACATGTGGCTTCACCAACTTTTGGAGAGTTGATCTATACTGTGTTGCAGGCTAGCATTTTTACATTCTTTCTAAGAAAAATATGTCCAAGTTCCAAACAACTGAATCCTGAATAAAATTGATGACCCAATCCTTTCATAATTTGAGAACTGCATTGATTGAGGTTCTGATATGGTAATGAACTCATGGACTTTGGAGACTGACAGACTTAGATTTAAATCCTGGTTCAACCACCTAATACCTGTGTGACTGGGCAAGTCACTTGATTATCTAAAGTGTGTTTCTTTATCTGTAAAATGAGGAGATAATCTTGCTTAGAGTATTGGCATAAGATTTAATAAAGGTATGTGCAAACAGCTCTTAGCATAGTGACTAGAATATAGCAAACACTCATAATTAATAATTCTTATAATTGTCATTAGGAATAGGTCAATCTATAATATTTGTTAAATTTTTTAAATAAATCTTTTCTTAACCTAAAAGTTCAACATAAAAGTAATATCTTTTTATTATGTAAAACTGGGGGAAAAAAGAAACTCAAAAGAAGCAAAATAGAAATCAAATTTTCACTTTAATGAAAACTTCTATTAACATTTTGGTGTTTTTCCACCTCATATTTTACTACGTATGTGTATAGTTTGCAACATTGGGATTAGGCTAGATATAATGTTGGATATAATACAGTACTTTTCACTTAAAAAGCAAGTTTTTCAGTAAAAATAATTTACAAGTACTAGTTCTGAAGAATTTAAATGTAAAGGAATTTTAAAGCTTCACTAATTTAATTATCCATTCTTTAAAGTCTGAACATTTTGCTTACTTCTGTTTTTTTTGTTGTTGTTTTCATGAACATGTACATATAAACTCCTCAGCTTTTGCTTTCATCTATATTTGTGTTTACTCACTTAAGATAATTTCTTAGAAGGAGTGCTGCCAAGTGAAGGGTGTGCACATTTTCCATCCTCTTGCAACACTCAGCTGGGTAGCCCTTCAGAAATGCTATAGCAATTTACACTGTGAGAGGTCTTAAAATTCATGGCACTGCCTTCCTGTTCACTTCCATGAGGAGTCCAAGACTCGACTACATTGCCAGAATGTTCTGCTCTGTCACTTTGGAGAGCAGACAATGTTTGAGGGCTGCCCTGTGTGTATTTCCTTTTCCTCACAGTGCCCCAGTTTCCTTTTCGTGATTTATCTCTGCCCCTTGTGTACCCTTGAGTTGCAAAGGGCTGAGCGTGGCGGCTCAAGCCTGTAATCCCATGCACTTTAGAGATCTCAATCTCACATAAACAAAAAGGGGAAAGAACTTCAAAAGTCAGTGTAAAATCGTTTGAGCCCAAGAGTTTGAGACCAGCCTAAGCAATATAACGAAACCTCGTCTCTACACACAAAAAATTACCCAGGCAGGGTGGTACATGCCTGTAGTCCCAGCTACTTGAGAAGCTAAGGCAAGGAGGATTGTCTGAGCCCAGGAGGTTGAGGCTGTGATAAGCCAGGATAATGCCACTGCCCTCCAGCCTGAGCGACTGAGTGAGACACTCTGTCAAAAAGAAAAAAAGGGTGGGGGGAGTTCCAAGGGTCCCTTGGATGGGAGAATGACAAGAAGCATATAGCAGGTGGAGAGACCAGCTGCTGGAGCATCAACACTCAACCAGGCCCTGCCCCACTCGCCAGGTGGAGAGTAGCCCCTGTGCTCTGCACTCCAGGGCCTGGGAGCCCTCTGGGTGGAAGGCTCACCTCAGAGGCTTCCCTCTGCTGTGGGTCGAGCCAGTGATGGAACTTTTAGATAGTATCCTCACGCTTCTTTTCTTCCTTAACCCCAAATCAGGCACAGGGAAGGCGCTTCATCCCAGTGCCAGTCCCAGAGAAGGCGTCGGTGCATGTCTGTCAAAATGACCACGCAGGATGACTGACAGGCTTTACTATGCTCCATATAACTATCTTTCTTTGGTTTTATTCCCCGCCTCCCCCAACCCCCAAGCCCTTAGAAAAATCCACATGGGACAAAGTAGATGCTGTCTCATGCTAGACTCGTCCTGCCATCTAGTGGTGGGACAAGAGAGATGGGAAGGGACCGAGCACCTGGTGGCGGGTGTCAGAATGTGCTGAACCTACAGTCCAGCAGGCCACAGTCAGGGGACACCCGGAAGAGCCCAGTAGGCACTTCGGGACTTGAGGGAGCATATGAAGGTGGCAAGGGCAGAAATTAGGTGCAAGAATAGTCACAGCTGTTTCCTGAGCACTTACTGCCTGCCAAAGACTAGACACAGTGTCTCTTGTGCTTCAATCTTTTGGACCTCCCAGCAGCCCCTTGTCAGGATTGGGGAACCAAAGCCCAGAAGTAACTTAGCCAAGTCCACACAACTTGTCAGTGGCAGAGGCGATCAAATGCAGGATTACCTCACTCCATAGCTTGGGTTTCTAGGGACACTGCTAAAATCACAGAGAGAAATCTTCCGCGTTCCTTCTGCTTCCTCACCCACACTCCCAACCCACTCCCACTCTGCTCACTGAGATGCCCCATTTCCACCTACTGTGCCTCTCTTGGGTCCCCGAGTCTCCACTCTGAGCAACTCCTAAGGGAGCCTTCTCTCTTCCTTGGCCTGAAGAGAGTCAGGCAGGAGGGAGAGAGGGTGGTGGTGGCATCTCTTTGTCCACTGTCAGCAAATATTAAATGTCTTACACTAACTTTTGAATTTCTTTCCCCTTTTTGTTTATGTGAGATTGAGATCTCTAAAGTGCATGGTCTCATTTCAGAGCAGTCACTGTAAAGTTCAGTTCTAAATCTGAAAGGACTTCTCGTGCTTTCTAGAAAAAATAGTAGGGGGCTGGCTCATGGCTACCCAGCCTGAAAGAACAACTGCTACCCGAGCAAACACACAACAGGGTCAGGGGACTCTTGGCCCTGTAGTCACTCTCCTTGCGGGGGACCCTGAGGTTTTTTTAGGGAATAGCAACCATTCGTCCTGCCTGGCCCTCCCAGATGAGTAATAAGCCATCTATTTTTAGTCTAGGATTTTGTTTTTCTTTTTCTTTTCCCTTTTTAGAAATTTATCCAGGCCCATTTCCCAAGGCTGAGTGCTAAAGTTGCATTGAGTTTATTGAGCTTTATACTTTGAAGAGTGGTCCTAAAATGCACTTTGGCTGTAATTTTTTCCCCCAAGAATAAAAATCTTGATTTTGATTAGAAAATTGTTTGAATTGAAAATTGTTTTCGCCAGGCACGGTGGCTCACACCTATAATCCCAGCACTTTGAGAGGCCAAGGTGAGAGGATTGCCTGAGCCCACGAGTTTGAGACCAACCTGGGCAAGTTGGCAACCTGGGCAAGTTGGCAAGTCTTTACAATAAATCAAAAAATTAGCCAGGCGTGGTGGCGCATGCCTGTGGTCCCAGCTACTTGGAAGGCTGAGACAGAAGCCTCGCCTGAGCCCAGCAGGTTGAGGCTGCAGTGATTGTAAGCGTGCCACTGCACTCGGTCCTGGGCGACAGAGTGAGACTCTGACTCAAAAAAAAAAAAAAAGAAAGAAAATTGTTTTCAATTACTTGAACATTATTTATTCAACAAACACATACAACTTGGTGCCTTAAAAGATAAAAATGGCTGACGTGTGGCATCACAAAGCTCCTTCTCCCTCTCACACAGGCACCACCATCTCTGCCCTTGCTACGTTACATTGTAGGGGTCACACCCTCCTCAGAAGGAGACAATCTCTTGCCCTTTAAGTATCAGTTCCTACCACCCCAACCAACCTATACACTAGTTTCTTTTTTCTTATAATGATAGGCTCAATTAACTTCGTTTATTTGATCAATCAGCATTTACTGATCACCTGTTGTGTACCAGGCACCAGGATAAAGAGGAGTGTAAGTCACTCACAGCCAGGAAGAAAAAAGTAAATAAGACGATTACAATATAGTATAGAAAATGTTAAGTCAGAGACATACAAAGGTCCTAAGGACCCTTGTGTCACCTTCTCTTTCCACTTCCCTATCCTTCCCAGGCTTTGCCTCCGGTTTTCTGGTTTTGACCCAGTGCAGACCCTCTGGGTTTCACTTGGAGCTAAATAGCTTGATGGCTCCACTCTCCCTGGTATGAAACAAATCCTCAGACACAAACGGAAAAGGAGTCACAGCGATTTTGCAGAGCAAGTCGCTCTGGTAAGAAAACATACCAGAAAGCAGCAAAGTCCACAAATGTTCCACCAGTGTTGGTGAAAAAAAAAGTGTGTGAAATGGATAAATAAAGGGTAGATGAATGGATGAATCATTGAATGATAATTCAATAGATGATTTAATGAATGAATCAGAAAATGAACTTCCAACCTTGAAGCAAAACTGAATTTTAGAGTTTCCAGAGGTTATGCTTGTTCACTGAACACCACGTTCCCCAGAAACTTCCTGACAAAGATATATTTTTTAAAATTCACATTGCTTAAAAGTTTGCTGAGAATTTTGCAATGCCCTTGAGAAACCTGGAGCTGCCTAGGAAAGTTTCAGAGCCGGGGGTAGAGATCACCCCCGGAAGGAGGCACCACATTCTTCAGATCAGAGTCCTTTGAGGGGCTTCACTCTTGGGGAAAGAGAGAGCAGAAAAAGGTGATACAAGTTTGGGGTTTTCATTTAATCAAGCAGATGTACCCCACCACCCTTATCACTAGCTGGAAAGTTAAACGTGAATCAAATGACGGTGTCAAATCACCATACAGTGTTTCCCACTGAAGAGAGAATGGCAGGAAATCCTTCAGTGTTACAGATCATTGCATTCTAGCATATTCTATAAATGTGGTTGCTGTACTGTAAAGAGGAACAGGATCAGAGAGGAAAGAAGCTGTGTGGTCAGAGGCCTGTCTGGACAGCTGATTTTCTACATGCCCTTCAGGGCTTCCTGGTTCTCCGAGATGAACTGGCTGAAGCTTTTGACCTTAGGGTTTAGTCGGTGGGTGAGCTCAACATCACGGTCTGGCTTCATTTGATAGAAACGACACATATTGGCTACTTCCTTTGCTGCAGGGATTCCCAGCTTCTCATAAGCTTCCGGGGTGATCTTTAAGGAACAAATAAAAAGGCAGGAAATGTTAGCGCCCACATTTTAAAATAACCTGAAAAGATATTATATACCTTAATAATGATACAGGTCCACAATTCTTCACCCTAACTCCAAAATCCAAGATACACTATTTTTTTTCCCCATAAGCTGTTTGGCAGCAAACTGGACTTTTAAAAACGAATTTGGTAGCAAAACCTGATCTGAACTATTTATGGTCTTTAATTATCCCATTTAGTGGAAATATTCAAATATTTTTCTGCAGAGATACGGATGTGTTTGGTTATAGGTTCCTGTCCCAATCTTTGCTGGTGCTGTTACCTAATATATGTAAACAATAACCTATCTAAAAGCTGGAAGATTCTGAAGGCTGAATTGTGCCTGGCCCCAAGTCATTTGGATAAAGTCTTTACAACTGTGCCACCTTCATTCAATAGCACTTTATCCAACCTATGGTAAGTAATCAACACAGTGAGACTTCATCTCTACAAAAAAAAAAATTAGCCTGGCCTGGGGGTATGTGCCTGTAGTCCCAGCTACTCAGGAGGCTGAGTTGGAAGGATGGTCTGAGCTCACAAGGTCAAGGCTGCAGTGAGCCAGGATCATGCCTGGGCAACAGAGTGAGACCCCAGTTTTTTTAAAAAAGCGCTTCATAGTGCTCTGGTCTATATTTGCTCATGGGATTTCCCCAGCAGCCCTCAGAAACAGACTATCCCTCTGATCCTCCATACAATGTTAAGGGCCCTATACTCTGGCACTAGGCTCTCCTTCTCACTTAGCCCATGTCTCACCCATCCTCACTCACCTTCTGGGTGACAGGTTCACATCTTGCCTTCCATCCCAGCCTCTGCCAGGGCCAGGCCCAAACAGAAATGGAGTCCCTCTTACACCTATGGAGCTGCCTTTTGTCACCTTCCATAAAACCCACTCTTTGAATCCTTGCTGACACTAACTAGATCAAGTTGCCCCTACTGAATTAGCAAAGACCACTTCTATCTGATCCAGCACAATCTGTCTGTAGCCCTCAGAGATAAACTCTGACCTGAAAATTCCACTTGGCCTTTAAAAAAAAAAAGACAGACACAAGCAACTTAGGTGAAACAATGATCATCATGTGGTATTCATGGTAATGAAAAAACTCAAGAACAATCCACATGTCCAACAAAAAAAGGAATGGTAAAATAAATTGTGATACATTTACTCTAAGAATATGATGCAGTCATTAAAATTAATGTTCTTAAAGAAGTTTAACAAAAGAGAAAAAAGGCTCAGCCTGTAACCCCAGCACTTTGGGAGGCCGAGGTGATTGGATTGCCTGAGCCCGTGGATTTGAGACTAACCCAGGCAACTTGGCAATAGCTCATCTCTACAATAAACCAAAAATTAGCCGGATGTGGTAGCACGCCTATAGTTTCGGCTGTTTGGAAGGCTGAGATGGAAGGATTGCCGGAGCCCAGCAGGTTGAGGCTGGGGTGGCCGTGAGTGTGCTTTGGCACTCCAGCCTGGATGATGAAGTGAGATTCCAGCTAAAAAAAAAAAAAAAAAGGCTGGGAACAATATGGTACATTTAGGATTGTTTTAATTTTATTAAGCTTATATACACTAATATATTTATAAATACTGAAAAAAAAATACAAGAAAAATCTGAACAGTAGATATCTCTAAGAGATTGAATTATGTATGATTTTTTATTTTCTTTTTCATAATATTCTTTGTTTTCTACAATACATATTTATTTTTAAAATCAGAAAAAAATTTAAAGCTTTGAGTTTAGAAATAATTCAGTGTGAGAAGCAGGAAGATGACACCTAATATGTCTGTCACTCTCTCATCCTATAATTTTATGGCATGCTTTCGAAGGAAAGAGATTTGTTCTGTGGTGTCTCACTTTCTGGGAGATCCATATTCCTTCTGGGGTTAGACAGCTTCAATCAGAAGTTTCGCCCTGCTTGAGAGGGATGGGAGGGAGGATGTCAGGCTGCAAGGGCTGGAGCGCCACCTTGTGGTCAGATGCATCCTTTCCCCAGCGTTAGCTCGGTGCTTCAAAGTCAGACTAGTTACTAAGAATAGCAAGAACCATTCTGTAGAACTTTCAGCCTCTAATGCCTTAGAACCTCTGGTGCCAAAGAAACTTCAGCTGCATTATAAAACAACTTGCATACCAAGAATAGTCAGGGACCAGACATGTGACGAATAGATGCTTAGAGGGTTCTGAGCCATCCAGAACGTCTACTTCATCCTCTGAGAATGAAAACAGACATATACACACACACACATTCCATATACCCACACTCCTTCCCCTTTCTCCCCTTCCTTGGAGAGTTCAAAACCACAAGACAAAATGAACATGAGACCTAAATGCAAATGCCCTGGGAGAGAGGTCACTGAGAAGTAACTCTCTCCCCAGGTACAAAGGACCTTACAGATTCCCCTGTGGGTCTGTCTTGAGTGAGTGGCTGCCTTCTTGTGTTTGTGCGTAACTTCTCTTCTCCAAGAAATTATGTGTGACTTCAATGAGATGCCCGGATGTGGTTTTGTGGCTGGATCGACACCCCTACAGTAGTTTTCCAGAAAAAAATATCTCTTTGCCTCTTCACAACTCCGGTACCGGAGTCTGAATTAGGAATCGAGATATCCCTTCAAGACTCACTGGACCAAGAGCTGATGGTGCAAACAAGGACTAATCTTCTATCCCTAATCCCAGGAAGCATGCTTGAATAAAAATTCACAAACGTTTTCTTAGAGGGCTAGATATGAATATTTCAGCCCTGTGGGCCCTAAGGTCTGTGTTGTAACTACTCAACTCTATCATTGTATCACTGTTCCCTTTTTTCCTTTTATCAACACCTCCTTGGAGAAATGGCCAAGAATATTCACTATCACCAGTTCTCCTCACTTTTCTGTAAAAAGTCTGTCCTGGCCACGCCTGCATGGTTTATAGCAGGATCAGTTCTTGAGGACTCACTAAGGGCCGGGCCCAATGTCAAGCTCCTGCCATGCACACCTCCTGACAGTGATCCTATAAGGGAGATATTAGTAACTGGCTTCGAGCATATGAAAAAACAAAAAAGGCTGAGAGAAGTTAAGCAAATTGCCAAGATCCCATACATAAATCAGGGCAGAGCCAGGATGTGCCTGCTTCCCATACTGCCTTGGGTTCATCGTGTTTATTGTAGAATTCAGCCAGGCCAGCCCTGCTGCTTCCCTCCACCTGCACACAGCCTTGTCTTCCTTCAAGGATTGGCCCAAGCCCACTTCTTCCACAAAACCTTCTCCCACCCTCTTCTGGTCATCTGTATAGCACAGATAGCCTGCACAACACAGTTAAGCACCTGTAGAGATACTGTAATGATCATGGTGACATCAACATTTTCACCCTAACTCTGCTGTAAACCCCTTAAAGTAGATTCATAACAGGCACTCAGCACATCTCTACTATGTGCCAAACATGATGGTAGGCCCTTTACCAATATTCTGTTTTCTTTTCACAAGAACATGGGATGTGTGGGGTGTGTACATGTGTAGTGTGTGTGTGTGTGTGTGTGTGTGTGTGTGTGTGTGTGTGTGTGTGTTTTCATTCTCAGAGGATGGTGTAGACACTGTTCTGAACAGCTCAGAACCTTCGAAGCATCTATTAGTCACATGCCTGGTTCCCGACTATTCTTGGTGCAGCAAATGATGGTATCAAGTAGAAACTACCATCTGCAAATGAGGAAGCTGAGATTCAGAGAGGCTAAAGGACTTGCCCCACATTGGGCAGCTCTGGCAGACTGCAGTGGCCAGCAGTGAGGGTTTATGAGAGAAGTTGGGATAGTGTACATGAAAAAGTTGTACCTCGGTCTTTAGATTCTATGTTCTTCCCACTCAGAAGTTACTTTACCTAAGCAAGCTGATGAACCCTAAGCCAAAGAGATTAAGCCACATAGGAAAGATTCCACTGCATCAACCAATGAAGACAGATCATGAAGCCAGGGTCCTTTTCCACTTCTTCTGACAGTCTAAGCTCAATTCTGCCTAAGTCTGCCAAGAGTCTACTAGATTTTCTAAGTTAATGAAATGTGATGGTCTCTTGTAATCTACCAATGTCTCCTAAGAACTCACCTTTGGCCGGGCACAGTGGCTCACGCCTATAATCCCAGCACTTTGAGAGGTAGAGGTGAGAGAATAACCTGAGCCCATGGGCTCGAGACCAGCCTGGGCAACATGGTGAGACTTTGTCTCTACAATAAATCAAAAAATTAGCTGGGTGGTATGTGTCTGTAGTCCCAGCTACTTGGAAGGCTGAGGCGGAAGGATCGCCTGAGCCCAGCAGGTCGAGGCTGCGGTGGCCATGAGCGTGCCACTGCTCTCCAGCCTGGGAGACAGAGTGAGACTCCAACTCAAAAAAAAAGAACTCACCTTTGCGTCCCGGACTTCTTTCCCCAAGCTCTTGGACAGAACATCAGCATATTGCTGTATTGTTAGTGCTTCTGCACTGAGGCCTACAGCCTGGCCTATAAATTCTTCTGGAGAATTGAAGATGCTACAGACAGCTGCTCCAACATCCGTCACAGAGATACCATGCATTGGTACATCCCCCATGGGCAGTACTAGTTAAAAAAAAAAAGAAAAGATTAAAAATAGCAAATTATGTCTCATTCTTAGTAAGTCCCACCAACCCAAATTAACCAACCACTTAAATTAAAGTGTGGAAAAGCAATGGAAAACTGAGTTGCCACAATCTCTATTACAAGGTTTTGTTTGAGGAAATACCATAGTGTCTTGGTATTTATTAAGAAAAATAGTCATTTGCCAAATATCTGCTATGGGCAAAGTATGATCAGCTGTATCTCCAGCCAAGATGTCTCTGCTGACTTCCTGATTCACAAGTCCTACTTCTTTCTCAACATCCTTATTTGATTGTTTAATGGACCTTTTACATTCAACAGACCCAAACCGAACTCCTAACCCCCTCTCAACCTGCACCCCTATAGTCGTCCACATCTCAGTTAATGACAACTCTAACATTCCGTTTCTTGGGTCACAAATCTTGGCGTCAACTTTGACATTTCTCTCACATCACATGTCTTATTTTTGTGAAAATTCTATTCACAATATGTCCAAAGTCTAACCACTTTTCATCATCTTCACTGCCACCACCCTGGTCCAAGACACCGTCACCCATGACTTGAATTATTGCAAATTGTTCTCCTTGTTCCCGCCCTTCCCCTTTCATGGTCAATTTTCTTTTCTTTCTTTTCTTTCCTCCCTCTCTCCCTCCCTCCCTCTTCCTTCCTTCCTTCCTTCCTTCCTTCCTTCCTTCCTTCCTTCCTTCTTTCTTTCTTTCTTTCTTTCTTCCTTCCTTTCTTTCTTTCTTTCATCAGGGTCTCACTCTATTGCCCAGGCTGGAGTGCAGTGACATGATCATGACTCACTACAGCCTTGACCTCCTGGGCTTAGGCAATGCTTCTGCCTCAGCCTCCTGAGTAACTGGGACTACAGTTGTGTGCTACCAAACCCGATTAAATTTTTTTTTTTTTTTGTAGAGATGAGATCTTGTTGTATTTCCCAGACTGGTCTCGAACCTGGGCTTAAGTGATTCTCCCACCTCACCCTCCCAAAGTGCTGGGATTACAGAGGTGAGCCACCATGCCCAGCCTCTTTTCAAAACAAAAATCAGAGTGAAACTAAAGTAAAAACGAAAGTCAGCTCATGTCACCAAATCCTCCAACACCTCTCTGTGTCTCTCAGAGGAAAAAATCAATGGTTCCCAAATCCTACATGACCATACCCTCTGCTCTGCTACCTATGACCTCGCCTTCCACTGTCCTCCTCTCCCTCATTCTGTTCCAGCCTGAATTTCTTGGTAGGCAGAATGTCTGCTCATTCCATAGATTAAGTTATAATTGTGCTGTATATGTGTAAAGCAAGTTTAGATTTTTGAAACACTCTAAGTCAGAGTGTTCCCTCTCCCTGAAGCACTCTTCCCCTTAATACCCACAAAGCTCACTATCTGCTTCTGCCAGAAGGTACTCAAAGAGACCCACCCGTTCTCTTGTTCAAGTTTCATACATTCTACTCAGGAGGCTGAGACAGGAGGATCTCTTGGGCCTAGGAGGTTGAGGCTGCAGTGAGCTATGATTATGCCACTACATTCCAGCCTGGGCAACAAAGTGAGACTCTGACTCAGATAGATAGATAGATAGATAGATAGATAGATAGATAGATAGATAGATAGACAGACAGACAGATAGATAGACAGATGAAAGATAAAACTTCATATGCCACCCTCTCACTGCTAGCACTCTGCAGCTACTTAGGCTGCCTCATAGCGTGAGCCACCTTCTAACACACAATATATTTTACATATCTGCCATGCTTCTTGTTGACAGTCTTCCCTACCAGATATGAGCTTCATGAAGGCAAAGTTTTTCGTTCATCATTGATTCCCTAGTGACTGACACATAGCAGACCCTTAAATATTATTGAATGAATGAGTGAATGAACAAACATATTGGCTAGTTTAATCCTTGAAACAGTCTTAAAACAAGGGAATTATCAGGTACTTGCCTGATACTCGGCCAGCAAGCAGCAGAAGTGAATTCAGAGCCTCATCCTTCACTCCAAAACCTGTGCCCGTCTTACACTGTGATACGGCCTCTCTCATAGATTCCTAGAATGCTGAGGCCAGTACCCAATGTGGAAGTGACTTTTAATCCCAGCGTTCTCATTTTTAAAAATGAAATAACTATGTTTAGAGATTCACCCAGGGACTCACAGCTAGGAAGTGTCAGACCAGGACAAGAATCAAGATCTCAGCCGGGCTCGGTGGCTCAGCCTGTAATCCCAGCGCTTTGGGAGGCTGAGGTGAGTGGATTGCCTGAGCCCGCAGGTTTGAGACCCGCCTGGGCAACTTGGCGAGACCTCATCTCTACAATAAATCAAAAACTAACCAGGCATGGTAGCGCGTCCCTGTAGTTCCAGCTACTTGGAAGGCTGAGGCAGAAGGATCACCGGAGCCCAGCAGGTCGAGACTGCGGTGGCCGGGAGTGGCCACTGCACTCCAGTCTGGGAGACAGAGTAAGACTCCGACTCAAAAAAAAAAAAAAAAGCATCAAGATCTCTGAACTTCAGTCCGTGTAAAAGTGACTTCAGACTTAGGAGCCAGGGACTAAAGATCCTATCTTGCCTAATGGAGCAAAATCATCTTCCTGCATGAATTTCTTGGTAGGCAGAATGCCTGCTCATTCCATAGATCAATTTATAACTGTATTTCTTATTTGTGAAGCAAATTTAGCTTTTCAAAGCACTCGATGTCAAGTCTGCTCTGACTCTGAGGTTTGTTTGTTTGTTTGTTTGTTATTTAATGGTTGAGAGTCTTGTGCTAAGTTTAAAAATAGCTATGGGACAGTGGTAAAGAATATGAGATTTGGAGCCAGGCTGCCTGAGTTCAAATCCCGGTCTGCTTTATTAGTGCTCTTGGGAAAGTTACTTTATCTTTCTGTGCCTCAGTTTTCTCATCTGAAAACGACAGTAATTAACAGAGAGTCTGGTACCCAGAGGCTGCTTAGTAAATGGTAGCTATTTCTATAGTGGAGAATGAGGCTTAGGAATACCTAAGGATGGTTTTTCAGATCTAGGGACCCCAGATGGGACTCGGTATCAAGAGAAAATTAAGGCATCAACTCTTCACCCTGAACTAATCCATGGATTACAATGACCTAGTTCAAGACTTGGGAAATGTCAGATGAACTGGCTTCTGCAACCTGGCAGGGGCACAGGAAAAGGTAGTTAAAGAGATGTATCATGGTTATATATTTTTCTAGTTATTTGTTGAACTATTACCTGGGTCATCTGTGACACATGGCAGGCTCTCCTGGCTCTAGCTCAGGTCTACTTTGACTGCCACTACTTATGTCCCCAGTGGCTCTTTTTTTTTTTTTTTTTAGAGATGGTGTCTCGATATGTTGCCCAGGCTGAAGTGCAGTGACTATTCACAGGTGTAATCATAGCACACTTCAGACTCAAACTCCAGGTCTCAAGCAATACTCCCGCCTCAGCCTCCTGAGTAGATGGGACTACAGGCCACTACATCCAGCTTCTGAAGAGTCTTAATAATGAGTCAAGGAAAAAAGACTGAACTGCTGCTATTGATAGCCCCATGTTCCCTCCACTTCACAGTGGCCGCCTTTGACTGTATCCAAAGAAGGTATTCCCAGACAGCTGAAGAATGCCAGCCAGTAGACTGGCAGCATTGGAATTACCAGGAATCCTTGTTAAAACTACATACTCAGGCTGGGCATGGTGGCTCACATCCCAGCACTTTGGGAAGCCAAGGCAGGAAGATCACTTGAGCAGAGGAGTTTGAAACCAGACTAAGCAACATAGTGAAACCTTGTCTCTTGAAAAAAATAAAAAACATTAGCCAGGCATGGTGACATGCACCTGTAGTCCCAGCTACTCAGGAGGCTGAGGTGGAAGGATCGCCTGAGCTCAGGAGGTTGAAGTTGCGGTGAGCTATGATTGATAGCGCCACTGCACTCCAGCCCGGGTGACAGAGACCTTGACTCAAAACAAACAAAAAACAAACAAGCAAACCAAAAAAACAACAACAAAAAAACCCACTACATTCTCCCAGGCCTTAATCCAGGCCTACAGAAGCTGACTCTGTGCAGGTGCTAGCACCCCCCCCATCCCCCAGCCCCCGCTACGCCCCCCACCCCAGTCAACAGGCTGCACAACAGGAGGTGAGCAGCAGACAAGAAGGCAAGTGAACCTTCATTTATATTTATAGCTATTCCCCATCAATTGCATGACTACCTGAGCTCCATTTCTGTCAGATCAATGGTGGCATTAGATTCTCTCATAGGAGCATGAACCCTATTGTGAACTGCACACGTAAGGGATCTAGGTTGCATGTTCCTTATGAGAATCTAATGCCTGATGATCTGAGGTGTCACTGTCTCCTGTCACCCCCAGATGGGTGACATCTAATTGCAAGAAAACAAGCTCAGGGCTCCCACTGATTCTGTATTACGAGTTGTATAATTATTTCATTATATATTACAGTGTAATAATAATAGAATTAAAGTGCACAATAAATACGATGTGCTGGAATCATCCCCAAACCATCCTCTCTTCCCTGCCCTCTCCCTGCCCCTGACCATGGGAAAATTATCTTCCAAGAAACTAGTCCCTGATGCCAAAAAGGTTGGGGATTGTAAGACTTAGGTCAGGAGGACAAACCCTTTCCTTGCCTGTTGCCACAGAAAGTCAGATGGATGAACTAGAAGGGCCCTTAGAAGTCATGTTGCCCATCTGAGGCTGGAGGTCACATTGCTAACTACAATACTTATGTGGAGTCAGTATGTTAGGACTGGAAGGGTAACCCTTTGTGCTTCTGGGCCCTGAAAGAGCAACCAGTGGAACCACCTGGAGGATGGTTAGAACAACTGGTATCTCCCTCAGCACTTGACATAGAGCTAAACACACAGAAGACCTCAAATGATATAAACCCACTGCTGAGGGGTGGGAAGGGAGACAGGGAGGGAAGAGAGGGGAAGGGAAGGGAGTGAAAAGGAGCCGGGAGAGGAAGGGAGCAGCCAGCTGTCTAACTTCCCCTGCAACCGTCCATTTACCCAAGGTGTAGTAGTCTCCATCGTCGGCTTTAACGGGCTTCCACGCCGTGAGAAAGTTTTCGAAGTAGGCTGCCACACGGACACTGGTCATGGGAACGCCGATGGCCCAGAAGTGCTCCTCCACCTCCCCCTTCCCATCGAAGTGTGGCACCTCCACCTTGCCGTGGCTCAGACGCTTGACGTTTTCCAGGCCGCTGTACACCACGTGCTTCAGCCCCAGGCGCTTGGCCGCATCAGCCACCAGCTTCCCCTGAGGGAGGAAAGTAAATCTTCCCTGGACTGCTCACTATATTTGCATATAGACAAAAACTTAAGAGCAGGGTCCCCTCCACTCCCTCCTTTTCTTATAGCCCTCATCCCCGTGGGGCAGAAAGCTCCTCCAGCCTCAAAATATATTCAAGTGACCTCTTGAGAGGCCACTAGCTTTGGCGAGTAGAGGTTGCACTCCACAATGCTGACCTCTGCAGCCTGCACCCACTAGGCCTGCAAGACCCAGGACACCAGGGGTAGTGGGAGTCGTAGGATAAGAATCAGGGAGGGGAGCAGAGGAGGAAGCAATCTCACCCAGGACCCTCAGAGGCTAAGAGGCAACCTGGTGAGGAATGGCAAGGAACAGCTGGCCTTTTGCTCTGGGTTGTCAATGTCTTTGTGATCAATGATCACATTTATATACATATACTATCTGTATATATATATATATTTTTTTTCTTTTTTTTTTCTGGTAATGGACTGCCTCTGCAAACCATTTGGAAGGATACACACACAAACATACACAAATATATATATTCTCTTTTTTGTGTGTTTTTATTTCTAGCTTCACCTCTCTCTTTCTCTCTCTCTCTCTCTTTTCTCCTTTTCCTGTTTCTAACTTTTCCTTAGGAAACCTCATAGAGCAGCAGAAAGAGAAGACATAATCTGGATTAGAAGAGGCAGAAAATAAAACAAAAAGGCAACTTTTGCTTCTAGGCTCCATAATAAATGAATGTCAGAATTAGATGTCAGAGCTCCTAAAATAAGCCCTTCCAGAGTTTATCACTAAAAGACAGGTTGTAAGTGATGGAATTAACTCAAATGACATTCCCGGAACAGTTCAATTTTACTCTTAATTTTTTGAATTGTACCATTTCTGCAAGTAGCTGATCCTATCCATTACATTTTTAAAATCTAGTCTTCATTTTTTCCCAAATGTATACATATACATAGTTTAACTCTGCAAATAGTACCATCATGGAGGAAAAACAGATCTTATCATGGAAAGGAAGCTCCCTGCGCCCCCTGCTGATGACTGCTTTCCAGAAGTAACTGCTTTAAGCTCATTTAGCTATTTTATTCTTCCTAAATGTTTAGATCACCAATTCTTGATTTTTTCAACTTGAGATATCATCTACTAAGTTCCTACTAGATGAAGATTTAGTGAGCTTCCCCCTCCTTTCTCTCTCTCGCCCTCTCTCTCCCTCTCACTGTCACTCCTGCTCTCACATACAGTGCACCACGTCCACCACAGATGCACACAATTTTCTTTTTGGATTCATCCAGTACCATAGTCATTGGCTAGATCAATGTTCAGTGCTTACACACAGCTGAAGCTGAGCCATGTGATATTCTATGGTTATTTATTTTCTTTATAATCTTTAATTTTTCTGGATTAATTCATTGTGGGTTTGTTTATTTATTTACAAGCCCAATAGTCATTTATCCCCCAATTCTCTTCCTGAAGTGTAAATACACTCATTTCATTTTTATTCTCCCATTTCACTCTCGGAATAACCTCAGTCTTTGGGGTACCCTTGCTGCCACCCTCAAATGCCATCTGCAAACAAATGGCGAGATTGGACAATCGAATGACTGACTTCGTTAAATAGTCACTCTTGACTATTCAAGGTCTTGAGATCTGAACAGGTGCCACATAACATTAATTTCACAATCAAAGACATCTTTAATAAATGCCAGAGGGATATTATGGAATAAGATATATTTTTGCCCAGACTGAAGGCCTGTCTCCTCCAGGGAAGACACAAGTAGCCAGGGAGGGTAAGAGGAAAGGACTTAAAGGAAACAATTTGGTTTTCACCTGACACACTTCCTTCTCTTTGCTGAAATCGTCCCAGAAGTTGGTCACCACGAAGGCCCCATAGGCACCTTTTAAGGCGGTCTCTACAGACGCTTCATCATTCAGGTCACCTTTTACCACTTCGGCACCGAGGTCCCGGAGCACCTGGGCATTTGGTCGAGTCACATCCCTGATCAGTGCTCTCACCGCAAAATTTTTGTTCTCCAAAATGGCCCTGGCCACAGAGCCACCTTGAGCTCCTGCAGGGTCAAGGGAAGAAAAACACAAGAAGGATCAGGGAGAATGTTCACTAAAACAGTGGTCCGAAAGTCCCATCATTCAGAGTAGAGTTGCTGTAGTACCCACTCTAGGAGTTGCTACATGGTACTTTCAATATCCCCATGGTTTTCAAACGAGGTTGCTCTCAGCCTCTTCAGAAGATATGGCAGAAGGGGAGCGGGAGAGGCTTGAGGCAACCAAAAGTGCAAGAGAGCAGGGTGCCTGACTCAGAGGTAGCATCAGGTCTCTCAGATTCAAGAAGGGCAAGTCTACCTGTATCTGATTGTAGATCTTATATTGGGGTTTTTCACATAACTTAATTTTTAAAAGAGTTTCCTAGTCTATATATTTTTTAAAAGTTTGAAAGCTTGCAAAAGTTTTTTATGGCATTCAAGGTTAACCACGACATGATCATTAACTGGCTATTTTATTCATTCTGTAAATGTTTACAGAACGCCCTATGAAACAAATCAGGTGCAGTGTTGAGTTACTGACATTTGGTCTCCTCCATCAAATGGTTAGATACCTGTCCTGGATATATTTTTGTGCTTCCAGATCCATGTTCTCTTTTTCCATTCTGCTTAGCCCTGGAAGGATGGACTAAGACACTCCATCCAGGGGCTCTCTTGCATTTAAGTTGGGTTTAGGCAATGGGAAGCATCACCAGAAGCCCCAAGGGTAGGAGAGGTGACCCCCTTCACAACACTGCCCTCCCAGATTCTGGTCATCTCTCCTGCCCTTTTCTCCTTCCTCCCACTACTTGCTTATTCCTTATGTCTCTCTTCCTTGTCCACCTTTATTAGATGTTTCTTCTAGGATCCCAGCTAATACACCAATAATAATCCTATATTAAACTCTGCCTTTGCACACAGAGTGTCAATCAATGTTTCATAGTAAATTTCCTAGTAGTAAGTATGAACAGATAGCCAAAGTTCATCAGGTGTTTGAGGATAGCCGCCACCATGATAAGCAAAACTAAAATACAAATGCTGAAAAACACAGAAATAGGACAGAGAACCAAAGGAAAAAAATTAAAAATAATTAGTATTCTCTGAGATTGAAGGAGATTTTGCATTCCAAACACTACATCTGCCCCAAAAAGGGGAAGGAGGAAGCAGAAGAGAGAGAGCATTCAGAAGACATGAAGAAGCTCTTAAACATTTATTTTAGCAGAAATAAAATTTCAATAGAAAAAATTGAAATCTCTGAAATTAGAAGAGGGGGAAAAAAACAAAAAATGGCATATAGGAGAGAAAATAATTAGAAGATCAAGCCACGGAAATTCCAGAATTAGAGAATAAAGAAATTGGAAACATTGAAAGTATCAAAGATAATAATTATTATCATCATTAGTATAAATTATAAATAATTACATTATTACTTCTGATTATATTTTATTATCAAAAATCAGACTTTTTCAGAATCCAAGGATACTGACTGACCTTCCAGATTGAGGGGTCACCAAGTGCCCAACACAAAGATAAAGTTCCACATTATGCACATTACTGTAAAATTTCAGAACCCAGGGTGCTATGACTTGGTTGTTTGTCCCCTCCAAACCTCACATTGAAATGTGAGCCCCAATATTGGAGGTGGGACCTAAATAGGAGGTGTTTGGGTCATAAGGACAAATCCTCGTTAACAGGTTAATGCCCTCCCTCAGGAGTAAGATCTCACTCTTAGTTCCCTCAGGACAGTTGGTTGTTGAAAAGAGCCTGACGTCTCCTGACTTCTCTTTCTTGCTTCTTCTCCTCATGTGATCTCTACATGGATGGTTCCCCCTAACCTTCCAAGTAGAAGCTGCCTGAAGCCCTCGTGAGATACAGATGCTGACTCTTTTTTTTTTTATTATTTGAGTTGGAGTCTCACTCCATTGCCCAGGCTAGAGTGCAGTGGCACACTCACGGCCACCCCAGTGGCCACCTGCTGGGCTCAGGCAATCCTTCCACCTCAGCCTTCCAAGTAGCCAGAACTACAGATGTGCACTACCATGCCTGGCTAATTTTTTTATTTATTGAAGAGATGCGGTCTCGCCAAATTGCGTAGGCTGTTCTTGAACCCATTGTCTCATGCAACCCTCTCACCTTGGCCTCCCATAGTGCTGGGATTACAGGCTTGAGCTGCCATGCCCAGCTGATGCCGACTCTTGAACTTTTCAGGCATCAGAATTGTTAGCTAAATAAACATTTTTTTCCTTACAGGTTACCCAGCCTCTGGTAATCCTTTATAGCACAAAATGGACTAAAGGAATAGAGATAAAAGAGATAAAGGAACCTTAACTAGTAGGGGATGGGGAAGGCATCAATTCAAAGACACTGGATAAAAATGGCACCAGCTTTTTGTTGTTTTGCTGTTTATTTAAACACCAAGATGCTTGACTTGGCTGAGTATGGTGGCTCATACCTGTAATCCCAACATAATTTCAGCACTCTGGGAGGTCGAGGCAAGACAATTGCTTGAGCCCAGGAGTTCAAAACCACCCTAGGCAACATAGTGAAACCTTGTCTCTACAAAAATAAAAAAAATTAACCAGGCATGGTGGTGCACACTTATAGTCTCAGTTACTTGGGAGGCAGAGGCAGAAGAATCACCTGAGCCCAGAAGGTCAAGGTCATGATGAGCCATGATCATGCCACAGCACCACAGCCTGGGTGACAGAGTGAGACCCTGACTCAAAAATAAAAAATAAAAATAAAAAAAATTTTTTTCCTTAAGAGAAAACTAGGACTTATTTTTTATTTTATTTTATTTTATTTTGAGTTGTAGTCTCACTCTGTCGCCCAGACTGGAGTGCAGTGGCCGCTCCCGGACACTGCAGCCTCGACCCGCTGGGCTCCGGCGATCCTTCCGTCTCAGCCTTCCGAGTAGCCGTAATTACAGGCGTGCGCTACCACGCCCAGCTGATTTTTTTTTTTTTTTTTTTTTTTATTGTAGCGATGAGGTCCCGCCAAGTTGCTCAGGCGGGTCTCAAACCCGTGTGCTCAGGCAATCCACTCACCTCAGCCTCCCAAAGGCACGGGATTACAGGCTGAGCCACCGAGCCGGCTAGGACTTATTTTTTAAAGAGTAATTTATCTCTTCTTAAAGAAAGATTGACTTACATGTAACAGCTACGTAGAAAACGTTATAAAATTGTCCTTCGTCTTACAATGATAAATGAAAAGCATTAAAATTCTCCAATTAGACAAAGTATGCAAGAATTTTTTTTTCTGCTAAAACAGTGAGAGTAAAATAACTTACTGGAATGTTAACTAAAGTGCTGAATGAGCACTGCACTAGTGGAAAAGAGGTATTTTCAGAGAACCAGTATTTATCCCTCTCATCTCCATTCGGTGTCATTTAAAATTCAAGGAGGGACCACAAAAAAGTCAGAATTATCTTTTGGAGGGCAGGCCCTTTGTAGTACAGGCCTCCCCTGCTAGATAAGTGTTCTAGGAACCCATCGTCATCAGTATGCCAGCTATCATTTTTGTGAGAGGCTGCATTAGGCTTCAGAGAATTGTTTTGGGGAGATTCTTTCAACACGTTTACCCATTTCATGACGGATGATTTACGAGAGCACCTGCCCACACTGCACTGCGTGTTCAGCAGTTTTTGACCCCAAACGGCATGACCTCCATCCTCCACCCTCCCTATTCACTTGATCTCGCCTCCTGCAATTTTTTTGTTTCCCCGGATGAAAAAAAATCTTCAAAGGGAAATGTTTTGCCTCTTGTGGAAGAGGTGGAACAAAAAACAACAGAAGCACTAAAAGCCGTCAAAGTTGACAAGCTCAAGGCCAGCTCACTGGCTCAGCCTGTAATCCCAGCACTCTGGGAGGCTGAGGTGAATGGATTGCCTGAGCCCTCGGGTTTGAGACCCGCCCAGGCAACTTGGTGGGACCTCGCCTCTACAATAAATAAAAAACTAGCCGGGTGTGGTAGCGCGCGCCTGTAATTCCAGCTACTTGGAAGGCTGAGGCGGAAGGATCACCGGAGCCCAACAGGGTGAGGCTGCGATGGCTGGGAGCGTGCCACTGCACTCCAGTCTGGGTGACAGAGTGAGACTCCGACTCAAAAAAAGAAAAAAAAGTTGACGAGTTCAATAACTGATTTGAACGGTGGAAAAAGTGTCTCAAAAAAGTGTATTGCATCAAATGGAGAGTACTTTAAAGGTGACTGAAGTTTAAACATGTAAGAATAAATTCACAATTTTTAAAAAATAAATCTCAGTTTTTTTGGATCTCCCTTCTATATGTATTAAAAGGGAAACAATCCTTACCAAGTAAATTCAAAGGAGTTTATTTGAGCAATTAAAAACAAAGCAAAGCCGGGCTCGGTGGCTCAGCCTGCCGTCCCACGCTTTGGGAGGCTGAGGTGAGTGGACTACCTGAGCCGGCGGGTTCAGACCCGCCCGGGCAACTTGGTGAGACCTCATCTCTACAACAAATCAAAAATTAGCCAGGCGTGATAGCGCGCCTGTAGTTCTAGCTACTTGGGAGGCTGAGGCTGAAGGATCGCTGGAGTCCACTGCACTCCAACCTGGGCGACAGAGTGAGACTCCAACTCAGAACAACAACAACCAACAACAACCAAAAAAGCATTCTTGCTTCTGCACTCCAAGCAGTCAAGGTCTTGGGCACCACCTGCAGTGCTGCCTCTGTCACTCTGCCCATTACAAAGCCAACAGCTCCAAGCATGAGCAGTTCCTGAGGCACTTGGAGCAGTCAGAGGTGGTGGGCACACTGACCAAGGTGTTGGTAGCCTTATAGGAAGAACCAGAAAAATCTAGTAGTGCTTTTGATTTTGTTTTTTTGAGTTGGAGTCTCACTCTGTTGCCCAGACTGGAGTGCAGTGGCACACTCAACCGCCACCACAACCTCAACCTGCAGGGTGATCCTTCCACCTCAGCATTCCAAGTAGCAGAAACTACAGACACACGCCACCATGCCTGGCTAGTGTGTGTGTGTGTGTGTGTGTGTGTGTGTGTGTGTGTGTGTGTG